AGCAGAAGAAGCGATGTTTTTTAGTAGCTGCCTCTGGAGGTTTTCGTTTCAGTTTGCTGTGACTGTGGAAGATCTTGTCTGGCGGAAGCCCGTTTCCTGCGGGAGGGCGTTTCCTGAGGCAGGGTTTTTCCTACATCTAGACTTTCCCTGCAGAAATCATGTTGCCTTTCAATGCCTTTTCCTTTCTGGAGGCACTCTGAAACAAATTGCAGCTGTTTCCAATTCCCTGCGGCTTCCCGCCGTATGCCGTTTCCCGTATCAGCCTGGTTCCTTCCAAAGGGAGTTTCCCGCGCCATGCCTACCACCCTCTCAGACTCCTCTAAATCTTTCTGCGACCTCTGTCAAGTTCTCAAGCTCTTGAAGCTTCTCAGGAAGCTGCAACGTTCCGCAAAAACGCCTGTTATGATCTTCCCTTCAACTCAAAAAAAGCTGCCTTGCCTCTTCTGTGATCTGTTTGACATGGACCCATCACTGCTTTTTTGAATGATCACAGCCAGTAACTCTGCACCATTGCACGATATATTCGTAAAGTTTGTTGCATTCTTCAGACTAAGTCAAAGAGTTGCAATCGCCAAAACCTGATGAAACTGGATGATGAAGAAATCTAAGTATTAACAAAAGACTTATTGCCTTGTATCTGCAGCAACCGCACCGTTCCATGTCGAACAGTCACGGCGTGCGTGCGACAAAAAATCAGAGAGTGGCACTTGCTATCCTTCGTATTTCGCGATGGAGCAGCCGGGATGTGTGGTGGCAGTGGTGGGAGCTGGGCTTGCCGGGCTGTCATTTGCGGCGGCGGTGATGCAGGTCGCAGGCTCAATTCGCAAAGTACGTACAAGATTTGTGAGCGTTGATGAAAGGAATCCTTGCGGGACCGCAAACTTGCCAAATGCAAGCAATTGAGCTGCACAGTAAGTTTAATGTTTGCTGTGTGACAGTCGGCTCTGGTGTTGTTTTGTTGTTGAGAGTCGAGCTCGGCTTCCAAGGGTCGTCGTCTTCGAGCAGTCTCTGGTACTGGACCGGCCTGGCGGCCAGGGTACTTTCAATCGGGCATGTATGTTGCTTCGAGGTCTGGTGGTAGGGCACAACAATCCTCGGAGGACCCTGGTGCACTCCGGTCGTTGCCCTTGGCACGAGTTGGCCTGAAGGCCTTTCGACGTCTGTCTTGCTTGGTGCATTGCAGTTTGTTGCCTGCAAGGCACTCCATGCCTTGGAGTGTCCTCTGGTTAGCGCAGCATTCCGGCAGGTGCCGAAAAGTTGAATGAGTGCGTTTGTAATTCGATGAAATGACATGGCAGGAGACCGATTGCATACGTCGCGAAGATCTATTGAAATGGTTTGTCAGTCTGTTGCCAGCAGACACGATTCATTTTGGCAAGTCTTTCCGAGGCCAGTGGCGGCCTGTCTGAAGGTAGTGCATCTAAGTTCAGTCTTTCTGTTCGATCCCTTTGAGCAGGGTTTCATGTCGATGGCAACCAGCTCTTTTGCCGCTTTCAAAGCATGGATGCTGGAAATCTACAACTGGAGGCCGGGTCCACTCGAATCATGAGCGTGTCATGGCCACTTCTGAAGCTGATCGACTAGAATTGGTTGTTGGCAGTCGGTAGTGCCCGATTCCCACTTGTTGTGCGGCGCTTGCAGGGTCCATTTGATGCTGTTGTAGCTGCGGATGGTCTTCGTTCAGATGTTCGGAGCGAGTGCGAAGCAGCCTGCAAACAAGGTAGGAGGGGAATGCGAGGGTTTCATGTCTCTGAGTCGTTGACAGTTCTGGCGTGAGCGGATCTCCGGCTCTGGGACATTCGGTGCAGGACCTCATCGGCTTCGGGATTTGATTCTGGGTGGATCGATCTTATTCCTTGGGGATGCTCGGCGAGCTTTTCGAAAAGAGAATCTCGACAGGCATTCGCAAGTTCGTTTGGGCTGAACTTGGTGTTTCGTTTTCTCCAAATCCTGGTTTGCTGTGCCTGAGGCGAGATCTGGGACTTGGCAGGGTTTTCGGAGGTGGCAACAAAGCAATAGAACAAGGCCGAGCGTTTCTCGTTCATGCTGCTGACTTTCAACGCTTCTTCCTCTTGGTATCCCCGAAACACTAGGCGTTCAATTGGCGGGCTCCCTCATAGAGGCCTTTGATCGTGCTGCCAGGCCCGTACCAAAAAGCTTGCAGGAGTGTCTGAAGCCACCCGTGTGAAGCTATCTCCTGTTTGGTTTGCGTTGCGAGGCCCGTGCGTGGTTCCACCAGCCTGCACCAGGCCATGTGACCTTCGAAGACAGTTGCGCACCCTCTTCTGCCATCCGTGCAATAGGCGCTGCAAAGCAAATCTATTCATTTCTGCCATTTTATGGCAGTCACTGGCTTGTCAGAGAGGCACGGTTGCTCTAGCTCATTTGCAGCTGTTCGCTGTCGTGCCGTCGTCCAATTGATTTGTTCATCATGCTTCTCAGCTGGGTTTATTTCGATAGGAAATATGCGTCCCTGACTGAGCAGGTTGCGATGGCATTGCAGAAAGCGGCGGCGGCCGTGCGATGAAGACGAACCTAGTGTTGAAAATCGATCCAACTGACTCGTTCGGCCGAGTTAAGGCTCATTGCATGCTTCGCCCTCCTGCACAGCACTTTGCCCGGTGTCCAAGCAATGCAAAGGTCACGAAACTGACATGCAGAGGTCGCTGTCCTCGTGAGACTACCAGTTTGCATGGAGGGGTGACGCGTGCAAGCTACTAGGTGCGGGCGCCAGTTCTCTGTTGTGTGCCATGGACTTCCCTCCAGAAGTTCGAGAGCTCGTGCAGCAGCTGAAGTCTGCTGGGATGCAGATTGACGAATCGAATCCGCAGGAAGTGATGCAGGCAGGATGCCGGCCTCGGGGCATGCCTATGGCCCATGCCAAAGCCTATCAAATGTTGTACAATGTAGTTTGTTTTTTCCCGGATCTCTGGGAGCATTATTCAGAGTTGAGCTGCAAGGCAGCGAACTTACACACGGCATCGTTAGGCGACCCTCCTGTTGATTCGAAACCAGTTCACCATCCAACGTCCAACAGCAGCTTGCGAGTGCTGCCACGTCAAAGACTTGTTTTCCAGGCTCTGTTTCGAGTGCAGCAAATGGCGGCCAACAAGAAGAAGGCCGAGATGATCAGTAAAGAGCGCGCGCTCCCTGGCCGAAGTGAAGCGCAGGTCGTGCCAGCTCAGCATTTTGTGCTGAACAATCCGATGAAGGGTCCATGGCCTGCAGGATTTAAAGTCTGTGTCTTTGCAAACGGCTGCTTCTGGGGCAGTGAGAAGGGAATCTGGCGCTTGCCCGGTGGTGGCATTTACTCTACAGCTGTTGGTTATGCTGGTGGCTATACCCCAAACCCGACTTACGAAGAAGCATGTTCAGGACAAACTGGACATACTGAAGCAGTGCAGGTGGTTTTTGACCCTTCGAAGATAAGTCTGGTGGATATTTTGCGCTGGTTTTGGGAAGCCCATGATCCCACACAAGGAATGGGTCAAGGGAACGACCGTGGCACACAATATCGTAGTGCCTTGTATTATTTTGATGATGAGCAGAGGCAGCTGTACGAAGCCAGTAAAGAAGCATATGAAGCTGAGCTGAAAGCCAATGGAAAGGGCCGTGGACCGATTACAACGGAAATTCGAGCAGCCTCCGATTTCGAGGGCGAGGTTTTCTTCTATGCAGAAGAGTACCACCAGCAATATCTGGCAAAGCCAGGACGCCCAAAGTAACAGTTCGGTTCCGGTAGCAGCACATGTTGCCCCATGTGATGCTTTCTCAATGCACATGCAAGGAGCTCGTCCGTACTGTTCGGCAGAGCCACAGCAGGTGTCACTTCCAGCATTTGAGAAGTGGTGCCCTGCTGTTCTGCGGAGCAAGCATGCGCCGAAGTTACCGGAGGCTTCGCGGCGTGCAAAACATAGCACTCTGGGCTGGTAGGTCAAACAGTCTTTGTGCGCACATGGAGTTTTTGTTGTCATGTCCCTCCATGGCAACATGCCCTAAACGGTCTGATGCCGCTGAGGAGTTTTGGAGCGCTCACGGCCCAAAGCCACATTGTGTGATACGGTCTCCGAACGAGCCAATCAAGTGGCCCTAGATGCGAAGGGAAGGGCCGTCTCACAGGTTCGGCATTTGTCAGAACTCGGAGCACGGAAGTGACACAGATGAGTGTAGGCCCAAGTTGTGAATACTGGCATCGTACTGCGACGTGCTACGAGGGTCGCTGTGAGCTTCCGGTCTCACAACTGTCGCTCAGTCACATTTTCCAGCGAGCTGAACGTACCATCAGCTTGCTGCTCGAGTCATCCTGCAGAAGAAAGTACATGGCTGTCGTGTTATAAAGGTATGGCTTGAAGATATTTGCATCAACCATGGTCGATAAGCCTACACAGTCGCTTCGAGCTGTTGATACTCTGAGGCAAGCGAAGATAGAGCGCATTTGTTTTCTGCCATGCCATGCCATGCCCTGTCACTTCCTTGTCCCAGCGGGAGCATACACCAGCAGGCACTACAGTTGCTTGCCAGCGGACTCGGACATTCTTAGCTTAACTCCCGGAATCTTCCGGGCCATTTCTTCGACCGATGCGTGGATTCTGGTGATGCAGTGCTCCAAGATTTTGTGAATTTCTTGAGGGAGCCAGCAGAAAGACCTGCTAAGTACAGGAGACGTCGAGATCTCTGCGTGTTTAGAGGTGTAGAGGGCCTGCAACTCGACCAAGGAAAGGGAGCCTTGTGCTTGCAGCCTTGCTCCAGGAGATCCAGGCCAGGAGACAGCAATTCCGTTTCCGGAGCGTTTCCGTAGTGTCTGCATCTGTCCAGGCTGTGGGACCTTCAGGCCTCTGCATCTGACTCTCCGGCTGAATTCTTTGAGCTCAGAAGCTCCCAACCAGGTTCAGGCTCAGCCGTCGCGCAGGCACGATATGGATGCAGAATACCGTGGTCGCTCCAGTCCTTGTTGTACAGACGGAGGTCGGGAACCTGACAGAGCCTACAGCCCACAACTCCTCGACCGAGCAAAAAGCTGGCTCGGAGGCTAGATGCACTGTCGTCTTTCTCCTGGCAGCATGATGCGACGATGTATCGGTAGGCATGCATGCCCAATTGCACAGTTGTCGAACTCATGCAGACATGTAGGCGTGCATGTATGTGATGGATTAATGGATGCATGGATGTATGGTGTGTCTGCATGCATGCTGCGTCCACCTAAACCTTGGGTGTACTGAGCCACGCGAAGTTTTCTGGGACGTGGGCTCCTAGGCTTTCTGAGCTCTGGGATCTCTCAGCATTTCCGAGTTGGGAACACTTGCTAGTTGTTCTCAGTATAGATTCGGGTCTTGCGGCTTCCACGGTCTTGCAGCACAAGCACTGTTGCTCCCTAATGTGGACTTTAAATCAAAGCTCCAATAGAAGCAGTCGGACATGTCTCGTTTTTGCACAGAGCGACAGCTGTTCATGGTCAGGACAAGCTTTGTGAGGCGCTGAAAGCTCCAACCCGAGCCATCCAAATCCATGTCGCCGTGTCAAGTGTGTCGTGTAACAAGCAAGTCTGTTCTACGTTAAGGACGAGCATGGAGAATGGACTGGTTCCGTACAGCCTGGTGGTCTTTATGCATCATTCTCAGTGTCAAGTGCCTGCAAAAAAGTTCGGGCTTGTCTTTGCTATGGGCTACCGAGGTTTTGACCTGCAGTCGAGGTTATCAGGTTGATGGCCACTCGCAGGCTTTGGATATCGCTGTCTGAGAGAACAGTTCAACACTCAAGACTCGCATGCACCTCGTTTGCCAACTCGTCTCAATGATTGTGGTCATGCTTCGTTGCGCCCTATGAGAGGTGTTGGGTATAACATTCTGTAAGGAGCTCACCTCCGTGTAGGTCAACATGACTTGCTCCCGACACGCCGAGTGGCCAGCGAAACCCTGGCCGCATACTGTGCTCGAAGAAATGCGCGTGGTTCGCAAAGGCAAGCAAGCATGGAGATTCAGGTGTGAGGCCGTGGACGACTGCGAAAAGCTGCTGTACAAGACGGTGACTTAGCAGTGTGATCGAGTAGGGTGACAGCCAGACAGCAAAGAGGCTCCTCATTTTGCTGAGGTGTGGGCCTGCAGGTTTGTGCCACGATCTCCAAGACGGAAATGACCTGAGTGCCGTGTTTCTTTGCAGTTTTCACAGCAAAAAATCTATGGCTTTGTTCTGGAATCGAAGATTCAAGCAAGGGGTCGAGTGCATGTGCGAGCGCGGTGCACAGCGAAGCTTGGCCAGCAACGGCGAAGCCCTCGCCCCGGACGCACTGGGGATCGGGTCGGAAAAAGATAAGAGTCATCGGAGTGTTACACTGCCGAGGCCGTTTGCCATTTTCAGGGCACCACCGACTGTGGTGGTCGGAACTGTGGTTCTCACGGAGTGTGCGTACATCTGCCTGGTTCTTACATGAACATGGTCAGACAGTCCCCTTGGAAAGCTGTCTTTTTTCAGGAAGGAATACCAGAACACCTTCGACACTGGTAATAGTTCCTTTCGATGCAGTCGCATCCTGAGTCAGAGCACCATGTGGCTTTTGCTGCAGTCGCCGTCCAAGCTAGTTGAGACTGTACTAGCTGTTCGCGCATAGGCTGTGAACGCGGCTACATGGACGATGGGGAGAAGTGTGTAGCTGCAGACTGTGGGCCGCTGCAGGAGCTGACAAAGGGACTGCTCTCTCCTTTCTTGCATCCGGAGCTTTCCGAGTGACTGAGGATCCATTCGGCATCTGGCACGGCAGTCACGCCTACCTTGGGGTGCGAGACTTCTTCTTGCTTGCTGGCTCTCGTACCGACCCCGCCGCTGCTTAAGGAGTATACCTTGGAATGTCATGACGATGCCTTCGTGTGAGGGCCCTGGTTTTTGGTACTTCGTGAGGTTTTTCTGTTTTTCTGTGCTTTGGGGGCTGACGAGGCCGCATGTTCACTCAATCGGTCGACAAGTCTCGATCAGTTCGGTCTGTCGGCGGAGTCAAGGTCGCTTCCTGCAAAGATGAAGCACAAAAGAGAACATGTGCAGTACACAGGCCACATTCTTGATATCGTGTTAGCACATCACAGTAAGTACTGCATAGGGTATTTCAGCAAGGAGTGGAAAATTTGACATGCAGAGATTGCGAACGAAA